AAATTGTTGTAAAATATGACATCAAAGATCTTCCCATATTGGTTGTCGTATCTCATTCATACAGTATGAAAATCTGTATTTTTTTTAGACTCGTTACATAGGTACAATAAATTATTCGGTGATTGTAATTCTGGTGAAAAGAAGGGTTATGTTTTTGGAGAGAAAGTATGTTTGTATATGGATATGTATGTAGGCGATGATATTATATGTTACTAGTTTAATTATGTAGGTATGTAGACAAGAAATTATTTGTGTTCATTGATTTCTTTTTTTTTATCAAAGAACGAATCTTTTTTTTCAGGTGCCATACAGATACCGAACCTGGGTTTTTCAGAATGGGGAACGCGAGCGAGCCATTCCCACGGTGCTGTCCACAAAGGATTGAGAGTTTATGAGAGAAATAAGACTTACACCTAAACTTCGGAACCTTACAGTTTAAATAATCAAGTTATAGAGTGCGCCTTATAAAGTATGAAAAGTTGGCACAGGTACCTACGAACACAACCATTTTGTCCATCATTGGCAAAACGAGAGTGACAGCACTATCATACATACTACATCTACCTATATACAAGGTGGGTCAAAAGAATTCATCCGATGTGATTCGCCTCCCATTATTTTATTAGTCATTAAAATTGACTGCTGTTTTCGGAAATCAATCTTTCAAAGATTCAGAATTTATGTGATTATATTTTAAAAAAAGACATTGATCAAATTGCCAGCTCTACAGCTTGCTTTACTCTAAGGCCGTAACACACTTTGTAGTTACGAAAATATGGGTTGTCCAAACATAGCACTAAAGATTTTTTGCGCATTTTTTTCTATTGCCGCAAATTAACTATACACAGGGCTGTTTCATCCCTAGTATGATAAAAATCAACTTCCCAAAATAGTCGTGACAGTTCAAATTGTAAGAAACTGTCAAAAATCATCGAAAATCCGCTCAGGAACCCAAGTTCAACTGTGGTAGAGTCACAGAATAAATAATATTAACTACCGTAGTATAGTTAATAAAATTATTTGTGTCGCTTGAATAAGGAAATTGGATGGAAAATAACGAAAGGAGTCTTACCGTGAAACAAAAAAAGCAAAGTAAACACTATGTCGACTGATTAGGTAAAGCCCTTTCACACGGGCGATTTTTTGGTGTCTTGCGGCGTGCACACTGTCTCGCCGCGTATTCGTAGATTTGTGTGTGAATGTATTCGTAAGTTTGTTTGTGGGGTATAAACTTACTTTATACAAAACTTTTTTAGCAATAGACATACTTAGTTTTTCTGAGTTGTTACTACAGTTTTATCGCTCCCAAGAAAAAAATTGTGGCAAAGTTTTCCTTCAGTAAATCGATCGCTAGGAGGTTTTTGAATAGAAGAAGGGTAATATTCAATAATTGAAGATTGTAAATATGTTACCAGTAGGCTTGTTATGTGTAGTAGAGAGACTTATATCGCGCACCAGGAGACTTTAGACATGTCAAACCGTATGCACTTTTAACCAACAAAAAAGGAGGTTCTCAATTCTTCCCGAACTTTTATTTTTATTATAATACCTACTCGTATGTTCAGTAGAGACCCCTGGACCAATAATGGAAAATTATTTTTTAATAAAACAATCGAAGAATTTTCAACATTAATAGTGTGGAGAAAATGCACATCACAAGCCTGCAGATATTTGTGTTTATACCAAAAATTGTGAAAAAGCTATTGAAATATATAATATTTTTTATTTCTTGTATCTTTATTGAGTTTATGAACTCCTTCCTCCTAAGAAATATCAATAAATACTCTGTGTGAAAAATCAAATCAGACAATGTTTGTGTATGTGTGTGTGATCCGCCTTAACAGCTCTATCAGCCTTGCAGAAGGCGGTTGAAAAACTCTGACACCAGGGTTCATCGGGTCGTTGAACGACTCGGTGTCCCACACGAAAAGAAGAAGCTCTATCAAGTACACAAGCGGGTTTGCGAGCGGATGCAAAGCGAAGCAAGCGCCCGGTGGTTGCGCAACGAATTCATCGTACACGCGGACGCGCGGTGGATTCGCAACGTTTTCGTACAAATACCACCGGCAAGCGTCCGCGACGAATTTGCTGCGCAACGAAACCACCTGTGTGATAAGGCTCTAATTGCTGAGCAATACAGACAGTTAGTGGTAGTGCATTCAATAATGCACAATAATGACGTTTTGCTCGATCAGCTTCATTAGGCATACTGCGTGCTTAGCAAAAGCGTGATTGTAATGTTGTTAGGTTGGTATGTGGTTTGATTGTATACAGGGTGTAAGGGACGGTATAACTATAGATAGATTAATAATTTATTAGAAAAACATAGTTTGTCTTGGCTCCTATCTGTAACAGACCTTTTGATTGCAATAAAAATAAATTAGATTAATATTAAAGATAAATTACGATTAATTATTACCAAAATAGCTACAGCTAGCGATAAAAAACATAATCTTAACATATCATAACGAGAATTTGCAGGCGCGTTCAGAACATAAAACTGAACAACTTTCCCCATGCAACATAATATGGTCATAAACGAAATAAATATTTCCCAATTTCCCATACAAAGTCATAAGCCGATCGTGAATTTTGAAAGGGAGGACAGGAAATTCTCGTTTCACACCTTTGGCTCAATAGTAAAAGTTGTGCAGTTTCATGATCTGATCTCGCCTGCAAAGTTTTTGGTACACCGTCAATTACACCCTGTATTTTAGTGCGTGAAACATTTTACTCAATGAAGGCAGGAATTGGTCTTTATCCCTAGGAATTCAACGAAATTCCTGAATCTAGTTGGGAAGATAACGGAATGAAGCCCACAATTTGATACAATTTGACTTCTTTCTAGGAATTTGTTCGAATAACTAAATTAGCAATTTTCCTGCTACTGGCACCTTTTTGTGTGTTGTGCATAATATTTGCAATGTGGCTTTTCCAACAACAGTTTATTTATATATACAGTGTGTTACCGGCAAGCTGTATACTTATATTCAAACTTGTGAAACTAGGCATCCACATCTTTTAATAATGGGCCCATACGCAAAATCACGAAAAATGCCAGCTGTTCTATAGGGTCCTATTAAATTCACTGCAAATATTTTAGGGGCAGATCAAATCTACACTTCTACACTAATATAATAAAGAGGAAACCTTTGTTTGTTTTTTTGTATGTATGTAATCGATAAACTCCGAAACTACTTGACCGATTTCCAAAATTCTTTCACCATTAGAAAGCTACAACATTCCTGAGTAACATAGGCTACTTTTTATCACTGGAAAATTCCTCATTCCCATGGGAAAACGGTTAACAGCAGGAAAACCGGGAAATACAGCGGATATTACCCAAATTAGCCAAATCTCTTTACCGATCTTCGCGAAATTTGGCACTAATATTACTTGCATATTAAAGATGGACATGGACTACTTTTTGACAGCCCTCGAGGATCTGAAGAACCTGATGAAGATCACCAGCATCCCGTCTAAACTATAGGAGATACGGTCATGGCTTCATACAAAAAGTTGTTTACCTTGACGGGCCGCTTCTGCTGGCACATGGTCATCGAGGATCTGGAGTACCTGATGAAGACCACCAGCATCCCATCTAAACTATAGGAGATACGGTCATGGCTTCATACAAAAAGTTGTTTACCATGACGGGCCGCTTCTGCTGGCACATGTTCATCGAGGATCTGGAGTACCTGATGAAGACCACCAGCATCCCATCTAAACTAAGAGATACGGTCATGGTTTCATAGAAAAAGTTGTTCACCATGACGGGGCGCTTCTGCTGGCACATGGTCATCGAGGATCTGGAGTACCTGATGAAGACCACCAGCATCCCATCTAAACTAAAAGGGATACGGTCATGGCTTCATAGAAAAAGTTGTTCACAATGACGGACCGTTTCTGCTGGCACATGGTCATCGAGAATCTGAAGTACCTGATGAAGACCACCAGCATCCTATCTAAACTATAAGTGATACGGTCATGGCTTCATAGAAAAAGTTGTTCACCATGACGGGCCGCTTCTGCTGGCACATAGTTATCGAGGATCTGGAGTACCTGATGCAGACCACCATCATCTGATAAGTGATAGGGTAATGGTTTCAAAGTATAAGTTATACAGCATGACGGGCCACTTCTGCTGGTCATGGTCACGAGGGTCTGGAGTACCCGATGTAGACCCCCAGCATCCTATCTAAACTATAAGAGATACGGTAATGGCAAAGATCCAATTTCTACGGGGAAACAGGTAAGTAGCAGCGGGTTAAACCGCTGGGCGGACCGCTAGTAAAATATAAGCATGTACTTGGCAAATTTTTAAAGAAATCACAAGCTAGTTTTCGAGAAAATTGCATTTAACTAAAAAAACACAAAACAAAAAAAGTGCACCCTGTTTGTCCTAGTAACACACACTTCGATGAATTTGAATTACGCGCCGAAAATAAGTTGCTGTGATTGGTTGGTTGTTAGTGTGCGTGCCGTGTAAGTGAATCCTGTCTACGTGGCGGAACGTCAGTCGGGTCAGTCAAAGGATGTTCACATAATTAATTAAAAAGTTTGTTTGAAAATGAAAAAAAAAATCTAGCGTGACGATTTTTTTTAAAATGCCTTAGATGTTTTTCTTATACATATTTACCCATGCCCTTAAAATATTTGCAGTGAATTTAATAGGACCTTATATGGAAAAGTTAAGGTACTCAAGCAAAATGTATGAAACAGGTGTATTTTTTCGTGATTTCGCAGATGGCCCCGTAGTAAAAGATGGTCACGATTTAAATAAATGTCCGCTTGCCGGTAAGACTCTGTATATTGCGACATACAGAAAATAATATTGTAGGTCAAAATGACATCCACATATTTTGGTTGAATGAATCGGATATATCAATACTTAATTGAATTAACGCATTAATAATTATTGTTTGTTTATACAGTAATCAAGTGATTACCTACAATATTTCTGTTCAATTGATAAATAATTAATGATAAATCTGACAGCCGATGTGGTGTAGTGGTAGTGCGACTGCGTGCAACGCAGAAGACTCTAGGTTCGATTCCCGGCAGGTCAGTCACAAAGTTAATATTTATCAGTTTGTGAGTATGTTCCCAGTCTGGTTAGGATATTGCAGGCTGAACCACCTGTATGTCCGTAAAGCAAGATGGTTCCGGGCTTCGGAGAGCACGTTTAGCTGTCGGTCCTGGTTGCTGTCTATGATTGATTATTCAGACGGCTGTCACTTCACAACCATGTAAGAAGCCTTCTACTAATAGTAGGTGGTTGAAAATCTCTGACACCAAGGTTCGTCAGGTCGTTGGACAACTCGGAGCCCCACTCATAAAGAAAATGAATCTGCACCGGACGACATTGCAGTTCGTGGCATCTACCTTCCAAAAGACAAAAGTAAACGCTAGTTTATATATATAAGTCTATGGACAAAAGTGACAGTTGTCATTTGATGCAGCCATTTTTGGCATGTTTTTGTCAAAAATCAGATCCGGTACCGCAAAATTATGCGGTTTGTGTGATTGCCGCCATAAAAAGTAGTATTAAAATAAAATAATGTAGGAGTAGTTTACACCATTACACGTTTATTCTCCAGAGTCCTAATACAGAATGTCAAGAGGGTACCGTTACATTTTAAACTTTGCAATTATTAAACTTTACTACATCGCCGCGTATTCGATTGGTACTGCGTTTCGATTCATATTTGGACAAGGTTGTGTAGTCAACTTGGTAGTGCTATCTTTGTTTGTTAATAAACGAACCGAAGGGATTGATCATGTTTGTCCGTCATACGACGAGACACAGTACCATTCCATTTCAACATGTTATTTAAAAATTGCAGCAATTGAATGTACAATCAACAGTGTAAAAATCAATAACTAACACTCGGCCATCCTGAATCTTAATTACGCCCTCGTAAATAAACCCTTACATAAAAACGTTCTTAGTTTACACTTTTTGTTTCGCTAATCTCAACCGTTCAAATCAAAACAATTACAACAATATTATTATCCGAAAAATTTACAACAATCTTAATGTTCAAAATATTTTCAGAAGAATCATCTATCTTAATATTCAAAACACTTGCAGCAATTCTAACATTCAGAATATTCATAATAACAGTCTTAATATTTTAAACATTTTTTTAACAATCCTAATATTCAAAACATTTCTTCAACAATCTTAATTTCAATATTATTTACAACAATCTTGACACATTTTAAATATTTTCATCCTAATATTTAGAGTTTTATTACTCGCAAAAATATTATTTTGTAAAACATGCAAATCTATTATTTTGTAAAACATTACTGAGCAAATTACTCAATTACTCGGCCATTCCTGATAATGCGACATTGCGTCCTCGTAATGATACAAGTATATATTTTTATTTTAACTACTCATGACTTACGTACGTACTATTGCACTCAAAATAATTATATTTTTAATTACATAACTTATTGTTACATATTATTGTAAATAATCTTATTCTACATATTTTAAAACACTCAAAAATTCTGAGAAACGAGTTCAGAAAAATAATAATAATAGTTTATTTTTAATAACTAGCTCGAGGACAATACTGAATCAATTAATCCTCAAAAGGCAACTGGAATCTAGTCCAGAAATATTAACATACTTCTACAAACTAAAATTGTGTTATAATATAACATAAAAAGCTTTAATATAAGTGAGATTTATAATGACAAGAAAACGAACTTGTTATTATTTCCAAATCGGGACTTACAATGAGTTTACAATTGACATATATTTATGATTTAATATACTCATTGTTACATTCTCTCTCATTGACATTTAAAAAGTATTCTTTGTGAATCTACTTGGAAATAATAGTTTTAAATCTTTGAAATGTATAACATTCAACAATAGTAATTAACTCTTTCTGTATCTGTGTATCTACTTTACAAAGCATATTTTGTAAAATAAATATTATATATATCTTGTTATCCATCTGTACTTGATTTATTTTTATATACATTTTCAGAGTAGCTGATAAAAATGTTTTAAATGTCATATTTCGATAAAAACAAATGTGAAAATGTCTCGACCCATTTATTACTGTTTTAAATTATGTTAGAAAATGAAGCATACATATTTCTTTAAAACAATATTAATCGCATTGATTCATGTAATATAGTTCATATTTTTATATTCATATATTCATTGTTAAACCTATTCATATGTTCTTTCAATAACATTACACAGATGATGCTGCTTTAAAAATAAAATATTTTAATTGATAAACAAACTCATTTATCTCTTAAAAGTTATTTTTAGTGATTTTAGACTTTATTTAACTACTAAGGGTAACAGTAGCTCACAACTGCCATCGAATTATAATGTAGACATTGTGGAACATATCCGTTGTGATTGTGGGACAAACCCTTTATTATTGTGGGACAAACCCTGTTTTCAATGTTTCAAACTCGATGGGATGAAGCCGTGATTCATAACTTGTTATGATTTATTCGTAGTAATTTTAACTTGAATGCACACTGGTTGTTATGCATTATTTGAATAAGTATCAGATTATGATATTTTCATGTTGTAAGTATTTTCATAATTTTCTTTCTTGAATGTCTTGTAATTGTTATAATATAAAGACTCAATTTTAATTACCAAAAAAAATTTTTTTAATCACTTTTTTATACTACAAAGACGTAATCTGGATTATAAATTTTGAATCTGAATTTCATTTACTTCTGTTAAGCTGTTCATCAAACATTTTATAAAAATTGCAAAAGGTAATAAAATCTTTTTACCTAAATTTCAATTAGTAATTGTGTTGTAAATTCGGAAAACAATTTTTATTTTTCATATATAGTATTTTTATTCAGCGTTTTTTTTTGTAATATTATTTTCAATCATTTATATTTGTTTAATTTTTTTTTAAATGTTATTATTTTCAATTTATTACAAACCACTTTATTCACTTACTTTTGAAATAAAACTTAGTTTTGGTTTATTTGAAATTTATTAATTAATTATATATTGTTTTCTGATTTTGAATTTTCTTTGGGACACACGGGTAGTGTTAATTAATTTTTCTTTATTTTTATTTTTATGCAACCCTATTTTGTTGTATTGACACTATTTTGTATACGTATACACCCATTTTTCATTACTAGGGGAACATAATTTTCACTATGGATGGGACAAACCCTTTTTCATTGTGGGACATATCCGTTTATAATTGTGGGACAAACCCTTTATGATTATGAGACACACCCGTTATGATTGTGGGATACTTCCCTTTTTTTTGTGGGACACTACCTTTTTTTCAAAATAGGACAAACCCGGGTTCAGCATTTAACGACCGCCGCCTGTGGTCGGGACCGACAGCTTCACGTGCCCTCCGAAAGCACGGGACCGACGGCTTAACGTGCCCTCCGAAAGCACGATAGAAAAACATACCCTTTTCGATACAAAAATTTACATAGTAGTTGGGTACACACCTGTTTTTGTATAATTTTGTCACAATAATTATGATAAATAACTTCTATTTTTTGACACTTTTGTCACGTCAAAGTTGCTGAACTTTATTAACATTGCTTACTCATTTAACTGATACTCGTTTATCTGTTTACTTGTTAACTTACTTTAAAAATACTTTCGTTTACCTAACATTACGTAATATTACCGTATCGATATCAAATATTCAAATGTCCACTTATACCAACTAATAATTATCGATGGTCTCCATTTCATTACATCGGTTGCTGAACGTTGGCAATGCAAAATTCCATTTCTTGTCTTTGCCGTTATATGATGGCTCACTCCAGCCAATGTTGCAACATGTAATTAAAATAACATTGGAAATTTAATAAATTGATATCAAGAACATAATGTATTTTTATGTGTTACCTAGACATTTGGTTCAAAGAAAACTAGCCAGAATACATAAAATTAAAATTACATCAACTGACATATTGATACCGTCTCGCAGAGGCCAGATGCCTACTACAACTTCGCGCACTTGAAATGACAATGCATTAGATTCTCGACACACAACTAATTAAGTATTCGACCAATGAAAGCACCATAGTTATCATCAGAACTGGTTTACGCACCTGTTATTCAAATAGTTTCGTGAGATGACCCTTCATAATGCAATGTTTCAGTTGCAAAGTTCCAAATCCGACCGTCCAGGAATCCGTATCTGCCGCAACCTTTCACCAGCCGACAGCAGCCGATCATCACCTCATTAGATCGATATATTTTGCCAGGGCCCGCCGGCGATTTACCAAGAAGTAGAAAAAAAATGTATTAGAATTATTTATTACTGATACCGTGTGATACCGGCTTAGACTAGCATCACGCCATTTCACTCAAAGTGGGGGCCGTAAAAATCGACTATAGGATTTAAAAAAACTCCATTTTATATTACAATTTTGGTCAATGGAATGCAAAATTTTCTGAAATTACCCTCAAACATTTTCTGAAGTGACAAATCTTGAATGACCATTTCCATCGCCAATCACGTCCTGCCAACCCCGTAAAGTACAAAGGCATGATACTACAATATTTTGAAATATCAATAAGAATGTAGGTAATCTTTTAATGTGATCACTTATCAGCACACGGTAGATAGGTACATATAATTATTATTATTAACTTTCAGACGTACCTCTTTGAATTATGGTCACAGTGGGAGGTCTAATGTGCACCAGAAATAGTCCAGGACGATCCATGACGTCGTTTTTCCACTTTTCGCTTCTCGTTCGTCATATGACTCCATTATATTTTTCACCTGGTGCAGGCGCCTCACTAAGCGCAAAACTCGCGGCGACTTTATGGCTTGGTCTTGAAATAGCACGCGGAAAATTCGAAAAGCACTTCTGAAGTATTAAAATAAAATAATGTAGGAGTAGTTTACACCATTACACGTTTATTCTCCAGAGTCCTAATACAGAATGTCAAGAGGGTACCGTTACATTTTAAACTTTGCAATTATTAAACTTTACTACATCGCCGCGTATTCGATTGGTACTGCGTTTCGATTCATATTTGGACAAGGTTGTGTAGTCAACTTGGTAGTGCTA